CACACGTTCACTGTTGAACACCGTTGCTTCGCCTCGCCTCGCCTCGCCTCACCGGCAGCGTTCGTCGGGACTCGCACCTCCCTCAGGAATGCAGTCACCGTTATGTCACTGATATTCCGGTACTCGTACCCGCGGACACGGGTGAAAAGGAGTCGAGAGTCGAGAGTCGGGAGTCGAGAACCCGTCGCAGGTTTCCACGTATGAATCGCGCGAGCCGCTTTCCGTCGAAGATGGGCGCAAAACCGAGATCCGCCGGCAGATTGCCGGCCTTCTTCACTTTCTCCGCCGGGAGGAATAAACAATGCGTCCTCCGTTCGGCCTCCGTTCGACCTCCGACGATCCGGCAGGCCATAGAACGAACTCTCTGCGCTGTTAGTTTTCCAGTATCGTAGGAAGATCATAAGAAGATGCGCAACTGTATGAATGGTGTGCGAGTGCGATTGACAATTGAGCCGTTTATTTTTTAAAGTGGTCTACGACCATTCATTTCAACGTCGAGATATTTTTGGTGTTTTAATAAAATTACAAATATTGGTAATCGGTAGTGTATAATATGGTAGTGTAATGATTTTCTGTTTCTAAGGGTGTTTAAGTTATTAACTTTATTAGCACAGTAAACATTGTTTTACAAAATTACTGAATAAACTTTTCTAATTCTTAAAAAGGCATGAATCCGTTGAAAAATTGAATTTCCCGCGAAATGAGGAGAAATATTTACTATTTTATGTGTTATAGATTTAAACAATATTCAACTTCTATTCACTATTAAAGAAATGTTACCATTAAAATGAATAATATTTTGCAATTCATTGTTCTGCAATTTGCATATGCAAATTGTCGTTTATTCATTGCCGTCTTTGTCCACTCGGCAAAAATTGATGGATATTGGTTGGGAATTGATGTTACACCCACCATATAGCCCTGATCCCGCGCCATCGGATTACCACTTATTTCGATCCCTGGAGAACCCCCTTCGTGGTAAAACTTTTAACGATGATGACGCTGTAAAATCTCACTTAACTCAGTTTTTGGCCGAAAAGGATCGGACTTTCTACGAGCGTGGAATTTTCAAGTTGTCAGAGAGCTGGCAAAAGGTCATCGAACAAAATGGAAAATACATTACAGATTAAACTTCGTTCCAAGTAAAAAAAAATTCTTTATTTCATTGAACAAATCGGCAATTACTTAGTTGCCAACCCAATATATTTCGTCCTCTTATCCGCTCGCTCTTCTGTTCCAAGGTCGATCCTTCCTTCGGAACGCGCTCCTTTGTTTCCCATAGAAAAAAATCCCTGTATCCACTTTCTTTTTCGCGTTCTAGCAGTCCGTATATCATGCACGGTGTATCTGATTCTCCTTCTTTTACGTAACAGCAGCGCGTCGGTTTCCCGCGATCCTTCCGGGCCTCATCCCGTTTCCCACGCGATTATGGCACCGAGCTGGATTTCGACGTTTCGTCACCGACTAATTGCGCCCGGGCTAATTGCGCGCGGACTCTCGCGGCCGCGTGGAAATCGTCGCGATTTAGGGGAGAAATCTGTGCCGCGAATCGGCACGCAAGGTGTGCGCGGTCTCATGCGCGAAACGGGTCTCGTGAACTCGCCTAATTATGCTGGGATGGAATGGCAAGTGGCACGCACCGAACGATTTATATTTACGTGTGTATCGCAAACCGGCCACTAAATTTTCTAATAGAAAATTCTCTCGGTTCCAGTTTCTCCCGTAAAGTTTCTTGATTTTGGGAGAAAGTCCGTGCACCAACCGGGAATATTATGGTTGACGAGTATAGTAAAGCTTTTCCTGGTTCGTTGAACTAGACGGAGGAGACAGAGAGATCTTGAACCGGCCTGGAGTGAAAATTAGAACGTTAATCAAGATAATATTGTAAATTGTATTACTTTCTCCGACCTATTTCGTTGTTTACTACCTTTGTTATTTTAGAGACGAGTTCGCATACCTGAAAATAATATCTCTAGGGTAAGCGCGTCAATTACTGTGCCCCCCTACCTTGGTTATTTACTTGTATTTANTGATGTTACACCCACCATATAGCCCTGATCCCGCGCCATCGGATTACCACTTATTTCGATCCCTGGAGAACCCCCTTCGTGGTAAAACTTTTAACGATGATGACGCTGTAAAATCTCACTTAACTCAGTTTTTGGCCGAAAAGGATCGGACTTTCTACGAGCGTGGAATTTTCAAGTTGTCAGAGAGCTGGCAAAAGGTCATCGAACAAAATGGAAAATACATTACAGATTAAACTTCGTTCCAAGTAAAAAAAAATTCTTTATTTCATTGAACAAATCGGCAATTACTTAGTTGCCAACCCAATATATTTCGTCCTCTTATCCGCTCGCTCTTCTGTTCCAAGGTCGATCCTTCCTTCGGAACGCGCTCCTTTGTTTCCCATAGAAAAAAATCCCTGTATCCACTTTCTTTTTCGCGTTCTAGCAGTCCGTATATCATGCACGGTGTATCTGATTCTCCTTCTTTTACGTAACAGCAGCGCGTCGGTTTCCCGCGATCCTTCCGGGCCTCATCCCGTTTCCCACGCGATTATGGCACCGAGCTGGATTTCGACGTTTCGTCACCGACTAATTGCGCCCGGGCTAATTGCGCGCGGACTCTCGCGGCCGCGTGGAAATCGTCGCGATTTAGGGGAGAAATCTGTGCCGCGAATCGGCACGCAAGGTGTGCGCGGTCTCATGCGCGAAACGGGTCTCGTGAACTCGCCTAATTATGCTGGGATGGAATGGCAAGTGGCACGCACCGAACGATTTATATTTACGTGTGTATCGCAAACCGGCCACTAAATTTTCTAATAGAAAATTCTCTCGGTTCCAGTTTCTCCCGTAAAGTTTCTTGATTTTGGGAGAAAGTCCGTGCACCAACCGGGAATATTATGGTTGACGAGTATAGTAAAGCTTTTCCTGGTTCGTTGAACTAGACGGAGGAGACAGAGAGATCTTGAACCGGCCTGGAGTGAAAATTAGAACGTTAATCAAGATAATATTGTAAATTGTATTACTTTCTCCGACCTATTTCGTTGTTTACTACCTTTGTTATTTTAGAGACGAGTTCGCATACCTGAAAATAATATCTCTAGGGTAAGCGCGTCAATTACTGTGCCCCCCTACCTTGGTTATTTACTTGTATTTAAAAACAACATTATTAAATTATAGATGTTGATTTTTTTAAATAACATTTTATCCGTGATTTTCATAAATAAATCAAAACTTTAACTCAATAAACTTAAGAAACACGTTGCAAATAAGGATGACAAAATAGAAAAACGATGCTTTGCAAAACGAACAAACAAGCTATCGTCAGTCATAAAACTCGTCTAGATCACAACAAATTTACTGTAATTCAGTAACTGAAATATGTTGGATTTGTAATAATGTAATTCTAATGATATTGCAAATTACCACTATTAATAATTCATTCACATTCGAGTATATTCTTGTTCTCTCGTTTCAAGCTACATTCTCTCGAAATGTTCTTTCACACTCACCAGTTAGCGTTTTCTACCAACTTCTCAATTCTCAATAAATTAATCATCAAACAAATTCGCGTCTTGTCTTTATAACTGTGCGATGTAACTGAATTGTCTTTCTCGATGCTTGCGTTGATTAATGAGTTCTCTTATTGCAAACAACGTGTTACATCTAACCTAACTTTCTTGTTCTGTGAAATCGTGTGTACGCTACACGTGACTTTTTTCCCTTTTTTCAATAATATGATAAATATTGGTGCATACAGGGTGTATCGCATTTTTCCGTACATACAGTAAATTCTCCCTAATTCGGCTCGTTTTTATAATTGTCGACAATCGGCAACAATAAAAACGAGGTGCAACGTTTGAATAATCATATCTCCTCTAATCTATCTCCAAATCGTCCATTTTTGTATAAAACAAAGCATTTATGGACATTCTGTTATACAACTTATATAACAATTATTTATTGCTTGTATAACACACGTCCGAAGTATGTACAGAAAAATGCGGGACACCCTGTATATAATAAATTATAGTAAATTGTTTAATACGGAATATTTGACGTTCTTATATTTTTTGTTATAGGATTATTTATCTAAAACTGAACAGTAACTGAAGCACAGTAATTAGATCAATGTACAGAAATTGTCACACAGTAACTAGAACAGTGTACAGAGAAATTGATACACAGTAACTAGGAAAGGCTCAGTAACCAACACGCAGAAAACAACAGTTACCCAAAAAATTCGGATGGAAAACATTATTAACGAAACCTCGTCAATCGTTACGTTGAGGATACTACTCATAAACTATAACAAAATTAAAAAGAGGGAGCACATGATTTAAAAAATATCGAGTTTTATCGTTTCGATTATAAACAACAACTATAATTTTTTTTCGTGACCAATAACCATTATCGATGAAGAAAATTGAATTTCGCTCGAATTACGATAAAATTTCGCTCGATGATATAATCGTTATTAGCAATCGAAATGAATCTTCTTCATGAATAATGAATATCGGCACAAGAGAAAATTTTGATTCATTATTTATAATCGTCGCATGTAACCAAAAACATTTTAATCGAACAAATAATTATCCTTCAACTTTTTCCTACTATACTGAAACACATACAATACATATACAAGAAATCGTGCAAAATTTAAGTAAATCCAATCATATTGTGTTTGTAAAACATTACACGTTAGTCGCGTTTATGTAGTTCCAGTGTTAAATTGTATCAACTCATTTTCCCTATGAATTCACAAAATCCATACTCTGGTAGCATTTAATTTCACAAGTGTTCATAAAAACAGTTATAACATTTCTAAAACATAAACCCGAAGTTAGACATGCTCTGTTCGGACGCAAGAAAATTGCAAGATTTATTGCAGCCGGTCAGCAATAAATTGTCCGAAAGTATCTCGAGCGGCGGAAGCTCTCAAAGCAGTCGCATTGTAAACCGTTTTCAATGGAATGGTTTTTCTCTTTGTTGCAGGTTCCTGCCACGAATGTCTTCACCTGTCCGAACGGTGAGTAACGTCGAAAAATCTGTCTAATTTTCTATAAAAACCGGGCCAGGTAACAGCTCCGGTGAACCTTCGGCTGTCTTGAAAAGGTTACAACAGATGAACAGCTCCTGGCCAGGTAGACTGGCGAACATGTGGACCGAGGTCAGGCTTTGGGTCGGCTTCGGCCTGTTTCGGATTGTGAAAATTTGGACCAGTTGTTCCATCGGCATAGTGTACATATAATTCTTTCCACAGCCTTTTTGAAATTTATTTTCTTCTTGGAAAGTGAATGATCTCAAACTTTTCACAATTAAATACAATCCCAGGATATTGCTAAATTGATTATTCCTTCTGCTTTGCAAATGTGCATTGTAAAAAGTAAAATTATACGATTGTTCCATCGGTATAGTGCGCACATAATTCTTTTCATAGTCTTTTTAAAATTTATATTTTTCTCGTAAAATAAATGATCTCAAACTCTTCACAATTAAATACAAACCGAGGACATGACTGAATTGAATATTCTCTTCTGCTTTGCAATTGTGCATTGCAAAAAATAAAATTATATACGAATTAGGGCAATGGAGCCAATTACTGTGCCTGTTGGAGGACTTCAGAAATTCGATTGATAATTCTTAAGAACTTAAAAGTTTTCAAAGTTTCTTTTATCGATACAAATTTTCTCCTAAAACAAACATTAAATCTTGTTTATGCAGGGCGAGTCCCATAACATGACGAGCTCAAATTTGTAATTTATAATTTACAAATTTTTAATTTACAAATTTACAAGTTACAAATTTACGATTTACAAATTTACAATTTACAATTTACAAATTTACAAATTTACAAATTTACAAATTTACAAACTTACAACTTACAACTTATAAACTTACAACTTACAAACTTACAACTTACAAACTTACAACTTACAAACTTACAACTTACAAACTTACAACTTACAAATTTACAAATTTACAAGTTACAAATTTAGGATTTACAAATTTACAAACTTACAACTTACAAACTTACAACTTACAAACTTACAACTTACAAATTTACAAATTGTAAATCTACAATTTACAAATTTACAAGTTACAAATTTAGGATTTACAAATTTACAAATTTACAACTTACAAACTTACAACTTACAAACTTACAACTTACAAATTTACAACTTACAAACTTACAACTTACAAGTTACAAACTTACAACTTCCAAATTTACAAATTTACAATTTACAAATTCACGATTTACAATTTACAATTTACAATCTACAAGTCACAATTCACAATTTACAATTTCATCAATTGGGTATAAATCAAAAATTTTGATGCGTCTTATACGATAAAGAAAAAGTGAATTATGCTCGAAAATAAACGCAAAGCACAGTAATTGTCTACCACGCGTTAGCTGGCTCCGCAACTCCTAGCCACAATTACGAATAACGCGTTCGCATGATCGTTCCGTAGAAGCTCTAAGGCGAGGCACGTACGGCGAATAAATCACGCGAGGGACAATGCGGATAAGAGTTCGGCGATTCGTAACGATGCTCCACTTTTCCTCGTTACGGCCGGTGCAATTAAGTAGGTTGCACGTATCGGTACGAAGCTCCTTGATTCTTAACCGCGTTCTGCATTCGAGACAATTCGAATTCGATCGACGGGGATCTTTCTCTCGGGTGAAAGAGGGAGACACCGAGATTGCGGAATCATGGCAGGAGAATGTTCCATTCTTTTTTCACCGGTAGACGAATACAACTTTATTTTAGTGCCGGTTGGCCTCTTGGTCGCGCAGTCCTTGGAGACGTTTTGTTTGGCTTTTAATCTTCGAAGGTCTTGCCAACCGAGACACAAAAAGCATAATGACATTGTAAACCCGTTTAATTCACCGTATCGACGCCCGCTGCTCGCGGAACGGTGTTATTGAAAGCGACTCGTGGCCCTAATGAGCACCGAGCAAGATAAAAACGACAGCGGTTGTTTGGAAAAATATCACATCGGGGTTTGCGTGTTTCGATGATTGCGAAGCGCCTATGTCGATTGATGCTCGATTGCAAAACATGCGCGGACACGGCTCCTGATAATACAATAAGTAGACCGCATAAATGTTATGGATTTAATTGTTTTCGGTGTCAGTTCTGGGGAACAGAAATTATTGTACCAATTATATAATTAATATTATTATACAATAATATAATATTATTATTATTATGCAATAATATAATATTATTATTATACAATAATATTCAATATTTTATTGTATATTTTATTACAATATATAATATTACAATATTAAATTGTAACATTTTATTATTTCAATATTTATTATTCAATATTTCACGTATTTATTGGCAACAATGAGCAGATGAAATTTGGATTTATTCATGTCGGAGGAAATTTTTAGGAGCGAAATTTTAATTTGGTTGTTTTTTCTTGTAGCTAATGCAGATCATTTTTATTTTGCATAAAATTCTGCAGACTATTTTTATTTTAATATTATATATTGATTACAATATTATATATATATATATATATATATATATATATATATATATATATATATATATATATATATACAAAAAAATATA